GGGTACAGCAGTACTTCCTGACGTGAAGATAATATAGGCAGCGTTGCCTGGCTTCACTGAGGGATTGGGCTGCGCTGGCGACTTTCGGCAGCTGGCTCATCGATGCCTCGCTGACCGTAACTACATGGCGACATAACTTGTCCCCAATGTTTGCGTACTGGGCCGATGTAAGCATTATTTCCGCACGAGTCTGCCCGAAGATCTCTTCGTGCCGGCTTGTTGGATGATCTGGGTCGAGTGGTACGAAGGCGCCACCGGCCTTGAGCACGGCCAGCATGGCTACAACGGTCCATATCGACTTCTCGAAACACAGCGGCACCACTTCTTCGCCCTTGACACCGAGCTGCACCAGGTAGCCCGCCAACTGGCTTGACAGCGCGTCCAGCTCGCTGTACGTCATCTCGCCGTCCCACGCACAGATAGCAGGCGCATCGGGCTGTGCTTTTACCTTCTCGGCAAACAGGTCGTGCACACATCGTTCGACTGTGGGTGGTACGTCTTGGTTCCACGCCCACAGCTGCTGGCGGTCTGCTGGCGTGATAGTGTCGATTTCTGCCACCTTACTATCTGCGCTCGCCTCGGCTAGCTGCAGCATAACAAAGCTGAACTGGGCAAGCATCTTCTCTACTGTCCACTGCTCGATGACGCGTCTATCGAAGCTCGCCATGATCTGTACTCCCTCTGCCGCCAGCGTGCATTGCACTATTAGCGCGTATGTTGTAAAGCCCTGTAACTCTGAGCGGCTGCGCCACTCTCCAAGCGTGTCATCACTACTAAGCACATTATCTGCGGGCTGCACGACGAACAGCGTCTGGAAGCCGCAGGCGTGTTGGGGGCCTGGCCCCATCTTGGCGATGCGCTGCAGGCCTGTCTGTTCGTGTGCGATCATCTCTGTAGCCTGTTGCTGCAAGCCTTGTAGAAAGGAGGACACAGTCTGATGATCCTGTACGCGCACTCGCACCGGCACAGTTGCAATCGTAGGTCCGAGCATAGCATCAATGCCAGCAACAGGCGCATTGCGTCCTGTGACGGTGGTGCCAAACACTACATCGTCTGAGCTAGTGTAGCGACTGGCAACAATCGCCCACGCTGCGCGGATAAGCGTTGACCTCGTTGTATCTGAGGTCGTTTTGGAGAGCAGCGGACACTGGCACTCGACCGTCGTGTCTGCAACTAGCTGCACAACCGTCGACGGCAGCGGCGGAAATAGGACCGCCTCGCAGCCAGCAAGGGCCGTCTGCCAGTACGACGTGGCCACCTCCTGGTCTTGCTGGTTGAGGTACTGGATGAAAGCATTGAAGCTGGGTTGTTTTTCCAGTGCGGCACCGCTGTAGACCTGCTGAACTGCATGCAGGATCCGAGGTAGGGACCAGCCGTCGTATAGCGCATGATGAATCGTCCATACAAACCAGCGCCTCCCGCTGTAGTGTTCCTTAACGAGTGCGTAGCGTACAAGCGGGTCGCCCAGCCCCATCGAGGCTGCCTTGTCCTCCTTAAGATACTCTTCTAGACCCTTAACCTCGATCCACTGGATGTCTTCTGCCACAACAACCTGTAGCAGGCCAAGTTCGCTGTGTTGCACGATGCGCGTGCGCAAGGCGGCTGTTGACCACGCTACTTGTTGCCAGGCAGCTCGGAAGGTATCCTCGTCTATATCGGCCCGCAGCTCTAACACGCTCTGCATGATATAGTCACCTGCTCGCTTAGCCGTCAACGACATTAGGCCTTCTTGCAAGGGCGAGCAAGGGTAGACGTCCTCGATGACGCTCGCGTCGACGCTGCATACAGCAGCTACATCCTCGCAAACTTGCACAGAATCTACATCTTCACCTAGTAGAGAAAAGGCAGGCACCTCTTCTGCCACGGTGCTACACTGCTGAGTATCCTGGTTGGCCAAGGCTGCGAGGTTAGGATGGCGGAAGATATCTGCGACAGAAAGCTGCAGGCCCGTCTTGCGAGCCTCACTCACCAGTTTCATGGCCGCGATCGAGTCGCCGCCTAGACGGAAGAAGCTGTCTTCTAGCCCAATGCTGTCCGGCTCGATGCTGAGCACGCGCGCCCACAGCTGCTGCATCATCCGCTCGGCCTCTGTCGATGGCTGGTGCACCGGCTTTCGCAGGGCCATTTGTTTTTGTCTCCACTGCGAAAGCGTATTACGATCTATCTTACCATTCTGGTTAATCGGCAATGCTTGTAGCACAGTGATCGTCTGGGGAACCATATATGCAGGTAGCTGGGCTTGCAACATCTTTCGGAGCTGCTGTTGAGTTTTCTCTGCTGTCTGTTGCCACAACGGTTTGCTGCTTAGGCTGTGAATTGGCCGTTCAAAATGATCGGTAGGGAAGCGGAACATCGCTCGGCTCTCCCCGCATTTTGGTGTATGCTGATAGAAGATGGCGTCTAGGCCACCGTGTTGCGAGTACTGTCTATTCCAACTGATCTCAACGCGACAGCCTGCTTCTTGAGCTAGCTCCACTAAGTCGGTAGCAGAGAAAGAAGAGATACGCTGCGCTTTCTGGTACACAGAAGACAGCCAGTCCTGGTGGCCGAGCGTGTCTGCGGCCACATCATCCAACGACTCGACAAGGCAGCGACTCACAATAGTCTTGCTGTAGGGAATGTTGCTTATAGCGATCGTAGGCGAGTTTGAGAGAGTCTTTAGTTGCTGCTTCAGTGACTTGCGATCGAGCTTGCGCTCCGTGAAATTAATCCATTCCTGTTCTCCGACATGTCGAATCTCTTCCTCCTTTCGACCTCTTCCCCTGACGTGGACAACGGCGGCATAGCGGTAGCAACTCAGTTCATTCGTCGCTTTCATCTTCTTGGGCAGGATCTCGACGTGCCCCACCAAGTCCGGTAGCCGACTCGGTAGGGCAGTGAAGAAGGCCGGGTCAACCAGCAGCTCCCGTTCAACGCGCTCCATGTCGGCCATCATGCGTCGAAGTTCGGCTTTGGTTGTCTTATCTCCAGCTATGTGTAGTGCCCGGGTGGCCAGAAACTCCTGATATAGAGCATAAGAGCGGATGTCGCCAAAGAAGAGCGTCTGCACGCCATCAAGCGCAAGCAGCTCTTGCACGACCTTAAACAGATACTCCTGACTAGGAAAATACTGGACAACCGAATTTATGACGACAAGGTTTGCATCAGTTAGCCCTTCGAGTCGACTAAGATCTACTGCTGTAGCCTTATGCATACGCACCCTGTCCGCTAGCACAGGAATGTATTTGACTGTTTTCGCGACGAATTCTACTGCGTTCCACGATGGGTCGAGTCCGACATAGCTTTCCAGGCCATCGCCCAAGTTGAACAGGATCATGCCGGTCCCGGATCCAACCTCAAGAACATGGCCCGGTCGACGGCCATTGAGCATCGTGGTGATTGTGTCGTCCAACCACTCGTTCATCTCGATCTTGTCGATCTCGCTGCCATCGTACATGGACGTCCATCCAATGAAGTCTCGGCCAATGGCCTCAGGTCGAAGGTTATTCATTGAAGCATAGGTCTTGGTATCGAACTGCTCCTCCCATACATCTACATGCTGCGCTTCGTCATTACCACCGTCGCTAGGCTGCTCACTAGTTATAGCATCCTCGTGCATAGTGACAAATCCAGCTAGCTGGACTTCGTTAGCGTCGTGATGTTGTAAGATGGTTACCGCGTCTGCCACAGATCTGTGGCTGCGGAGGACATGCTCGATCTCTCCTAACTCGATGCGCTGTCCCCAGATCTTGACTTGTCCATCCATCCGACCAAAGAACTCCAGCTGGCCATCACTAGGGCGATGGCGCACATAGTCGCCTGTCCGGTAAGCTTTGACTGTTCGTCCGGCGATTTCAACAGAAACAAAACGATCAGCATTCCGCTTGGGTTCGGTATAACCCCGCGCTAATCCATCACCCGTGACCACGAGCTCTCCGATAACTCCGAGAGGGACAAGTCGCAGTTTTGAGTCCATGACGTAGGCTCCAGAGTTACTGAGCGCGCGCCCGATAGGCACACCATTGGTGTATTGCGCGTCTTTGGTCATCACGAACATTGTGCTGATGCATGTGTTTTCCGTGGGACCATAGCAATTAATCAGCCTGCCTTTGAGGACGCTCTGTGCTGCAAAAAAGTCTTCCGGATGCAATGCTTCACCTCCTACGCAGAGCAACTTGAGTGCGGCAACTACCATTGGAGATTCGGAAACGTACTGTCTGAAAAGCGCTGGGGTGAGAATGGCCACCTGAATGCCGGACTGATTGACAATCTGAAGCACAACGACCGGGTCCAAAACTGATATTGCGTCAATGCAGACGAGCGTTCCGCCGTTCAAAAGAGAGGCGTAGATCTCCCACGTGGACGCATCAAAAGCAAGATTCGATATGTGCGCCATGATGGGCGGGACTGGCAGATGCTGCACAAGGTTGTTGTCTCGTGCCAGACGCACAACACCACGATGCTCCACCATGACCCCCTTAGGCTTGCCTGTCGACCCCGAGGTAAACATTACATATGCAAGACTGGAGGCTGAAGGCGCGAAGGGAGCAGTCGGTAATTGCGAAGAACCTGGCCCTTGGTCGGTTCTCTCGTCTAGAACCTCCGCGATATGAACAAAAACGATGTCATTTAGCTTGATGTTAGGAGGTTGCAGACCAGCCCCTACAAAGATGAGTCTCTTGCCGGGAAGGGAAGAGAGAACGGCCTCCATGCGCTTGCTAGGGGTCTTGACATCAAAGGGCAGATAGGCCAGGCCAGCCTTCAGTATGCCCAGAAACGCAACAACTGTGTGGCAGCACCTGTGCGCAAACACGCCTACCAGGCTCTCAGGGCCAAACGATCGCTTGCATAACCACGTGGCAATAATATCAGATGCCTTATCCAGCTGCGCATATGTCATCTCCACTGATGAGTCTTTGACAGCAATCCTGGACGGATAAGCGAAAACTTGCTCACGGAATAGGTCAACGATGCTCGACTCGCGCGGGTACGGAGTTTCTTCAATTTGAACGAGTCCCATCAGATCGAGCTTAGCATAGTCGGTGTCAGTTAACAGTGGCAAAGACGCAACCGCCACAGTCGGCTCCCTAAGACATATTTCAAGCACGTTGTTGAATACCGAGAGCATGTTTTCGATCGTCTCGGGAGCATAGAGATCGGTCGAGAATATAACGTTGCCTTGTAGGCCGTCCAAATGCTGGAAAAAGTGAAACTCAAGGTCGAACCTTGAGGTTGCTGAGTCGTCTAGGCCCTCCGTTTCCACGCCTTCTAGCATCAGCTGTCCCAAATTTCGCTGGGAGTGTACGACGAAGGCAAGCTGGACGAGCGGGTAATGCGAAAGGTCTCTATCGTTCTTGAGCTTTGAGACAATGCTCTCGAAGGGGACGTCCTGGTTGGCGAGGGACGCAACCACTACTGCTCGCACCTGCTGCACCAGCTCTTCGAAAGACTCGTTTTCTACCGTGATCCGAAGACACTGCATGTTGGCAAAGAAGCCAATCATATCTTTGAGCTCCCAATGGTCTCGATTAGCGTTCAGAGTACCTATGGTTGCGTCGTCTTGGCCCGTAAGGCGGAAATGCGTTGTCCTGAAAACGGCAAGCAAAGCCACAAACAGTGTCACCCCATGCACTTTGCAGAACTGCTGCAGTTTAGCATACAGCGGGCCGCCAATCTCTAGCGTTCTTGTATCAGCTTTGCCAGACAAAGTCACTGGTCGGGGCTTGTCACAGAGCAATTCGGCTGGCCGACTTGTCTGTAGCTGCGTGAGCCAATAGTTGAGCTGCTTCTCATGCTCTTCGGCCTGCGCCTCTTGCCGCTGCCACAGAGAGAAGTCGCGGTACTGGATGGGCAGAGGCTGCATCTGCGAAAGAGGATCTTGACCCCGGATCGAGGCGGAGTAGAACGTACTCAGTTCGCGCGTAAGGACATCAACGGACCAACCATCCGACACGATGTGGTGCATGACAATAGATAGCACGTAGTCGTCTTTGTTGAATCGGTAGACTGATACTCTCCACCCCGGCTCCGAGCGCAGGTCGAAGGGAGTCATTTGGTCCTGCTGGATTGCATCTAAGCGACTATGTTCGTCGCCTGGGGGAAGTTCGATGACGTTGAGTTGTTTGGCGCAGAATGGTTGAACCACCTGCATACTTACACCACCATCAGTCGCGAATAATGTCCGCAGCGTCTCGTGGCGGCTTTCGATTGCAAGGAGTGCAGCGTTGAGCGCTTCCAGCTGAAGCGGACCTCGAATGCGCACGGCAAATGGCATAAGGTACCAGTTCAGACCAGGATGGAGTTCTTCCAGAAACCACAGGCGACCTTGTGCGAATGATTGCTCTACTGGCCCGTCATGATCAACGGGTAGAATTGCCGCGGAGGAGCTGTAGTCGGTACAGATGACAGTAGAGGCCACATCTACCAATCGAGGATGGCGGAAGATGTCTGCGACAGAGAGTTGCTGCCCCATCCTGCGAGCCTCGCCTACCAGCTTCATTGCTGCGATCGAGTCGCCGCCTAGACGGAAGAAGCTGTCGTCTAGCCCAATGCTGTCCGGCTCGATGCTGAGCACGCATGCCCATAGCTGCTGCATCATCCGCTCGGCCTCTGTTGATGGCTGCCGCTTTGGCCCCTGGCTAGACGTCCGCATCTCTGCCAGCTGCTGGGCCGTGAAAGAGGCTCCGATCTTTCGAAGTTGCTTGCGGTCTGTCTTGCCGGACGTTGTCATAGGAAACTGAGAAAGCGCAAAGAATACAGTCGGCACCATGTGCCTAGGCAGTCGCTCTGCTAGCTCTGCTTCTACCTCTGCTAGGAACAGTACACGCGCCATCGAGTTGGTCTTGACGCCTCTATCTATAAATAGTGCATTGTTAGTATCGTTGTTGATCTGTACAAAGGCTGCTAGCATCGCACGGCCTCCCTCTCCTGGTACAATCACCTCAACTGCCAACTGCTTGGCTTCCGATAGGCACTCTCGCACATAGTGCTCGACCTCGCCAAGCTCAACTCGCTGGCCACGGACTTTTACCTGGCTATCCTTGCGGCCTAGGCAGACCAGGTTGCCATCGCTGTCGTATTGAACTAGGTCACCTGTCTTATACAGTCTTCCACGTCGCCCACCATAGCCTCTGCAGCCTTCTAGCAGCCAGGCAGGATCGTTAACAAAGGCGGCTGATGTCTTCTCTGCGTCGTTGAGATAGCTGCGCGCTAGGATCGGCCCTTCTACTAGTAGCTCTCCAACTGACCCTAACGGCGCAAGCCTGTTATAGTTCTCAGGGTCCACCACCCAGCTTACTGAAGCAACCGACGTCCCGATGATGCCTGACTTAAACCCTTGTTTACTATCGTATACATTGCAGCAGATAGTGCACTCTGTTGGTCCGTATCCGTTCATTGTCTGAACACTGCCTGACCACCTATCCCAGTCTGCAAAGCTGACCTGCTCTCCTTGAATAACTAGTATCCTAAGGGTAGGGACGGTACTAGGGTCTAGCAGCCGTGCTATAGATGGAGTCAGAAGTGCACAGTTGACATCCATAGCGTTGATAGCATTAGCTAGGTTGTTGCGCCGGTCGCTGTCGGACGGCACACAGACGCATCCACCGTACATAAGCGTAGTGATGATCTCGGCAATGCAAGCATCAAAAGCGTATGACGCAAATTGAAGAACGCGCGCGTGTTCTGTAATCCCG